CAAGAAAATGATCGATTAATTCTTGAAAAACTTGCATTAGATAGGATACTGGAAGAAAACTGGATTGATCCCTTTAGTCAGGGGATTGATTGGGTCATGTGAGGGGATTGATCCTTCCCTTTAAGTGATCAATCCCTTCTATCCTATAATTGTCCAAATTTCATTTTTGTTTCCCAAACATGTTTTATTTTGGTTCAAAAATATTTTTTGGTAGGATAAAAGGTTGGAAAAATGTTTAATTTGAGATAAAATAAATTTAATTTAAGTTAGGCAAATTTTTGTTTTGTCAATTCAAAAACTTTTATTAATTCAAGGCTAACAAAGCAAAAATAAACAGGAAGAGAAAGAAAAAAGAGAAGGAAAATTGAAAAAAAGTCTAACTTTAGGCTATTTATTAAACACCTAAATGACATTGTTTTAGGCCTTTAAAAATTTTCAAAACTTGCACGTCAACCTTTTAGGATTCGTGTGTCCACCTAGTTTCGACCCGATTACAGTTTTTTTAATTTTATTTATTTATTTTAATTGTTTTATTGGTTTTAATTGTTTTATTTGTATCTTGTTGTTAATTTTTTTGACATATTTTGTTTGATTAAATTTTTAAAAAAATTAGGGGAAGTTATTCCAAATTATAAAAAATTTAAAATTAAAATATAACTTTAATAAAATTTTGAAAATAAATCATAATTATTCTAAGATGAAATTTTTAGAAATTACAAATGGATAATTTTTTAAAAAATTTTTAGGTGAGAGATTTTTTTCTAAATTTGATCCAAATAGAGGAAAAATTTAGATAAATGTCAACAAAAATAATTAGTATTTATTTTCAAAGTAAAAAATAATAAATTTTATAAAATTTTGGAAATAAGTAACAATTATCCAATGATAAGATTCTTATTTCAAATGGTCAATTTTCTAAAAAATTTCAAAGTGAGTAATTTTTTTTTTCTAAATTTAACCCCTAGAATAATTTAAATGAAATTTCAATAAAAATAATTGTATTCATTTTCAAATCAAATAAAAAATATATAACTTATACTTTTTTTATAAGTATATGACAATTATTCAATGATGAAATCATAAAAAAATTACAAATAGTTAATTTTCTAGGATATTCTAGGTGAATTTTTTTTTAAAATTCAACCCAAATTATGGAAAGGGTTTAAATAAGGTTTCAACAAAAATAATTGGCATTTATTTTCATTCTAAAAATTAGGAAGAAATAATGAATAAAACCCTAGATGAAAGTCTTAAAAATCATGAATGGATAATTAATTTTTTAAAGAAATTTATAGAAAAGAAAAATATTTCTAAATTTGATCTAAATTGTGAAAATTTAGATATATTTTTAATAAAATAACTAACATAAAAAATTAAAAATACAAAATAAAGAATAAGTCTGATGATGAAATTCTTAGTAATTATAAATATATTATTTTTTTAATTTTTAAGTAAGAAAATATTTCTAAATTTGACTCATATGGTAGAAAATTTAGATATATTTTTGATAAAGTAAAACTTAATAAAAAATAAATTATTAAGTTTTTTTTTTCAAAGAATGAGCCTTTTTAAGAAAACAAATGAAATTGTTAAATACTTTTGATATGAGAAAATATTTTTAGGAATTATACCAAATTGATGAAAAAAACCTAAAAGTTATTTCTAATATTTAAATACTAAAATCTAATAAAACAAAAGACCATTTAAATTAAGATTTTTAGGATAATTTAAGATTAACTTGATACCATCATTTGGATTGATATGTGAAAGTGCTATAATTTTTCTTATACATAACCGAATTCCTGAATTTAGTTCTAATTAGTATACTAAAATCTATTTTTGTGAAAACCCTTAGTTAAGCTTAGAACTTTCTTAAAGGAATAAATTCTCTTAGGTGATTAATCACACCTAAAAAAAATTGATAGTGATTCTTCTTATTGTGTTTAGCAATAAGTTTTTAGATTTATATGTTATGACACTAATTAGAGTTGGTGTATATGCCAAATTAATCATAGAACGTAAATAGCCTTGTAATCAAGGATAGTGACTTGATGCAAGTGCAAATGAGCCAAAGAGATCGATTTGCTAATGAATCGTTGTTTGATGGAGATTTTCAAAGTCAATACAAGGTTTTAATAGATGAAGCTAAAGCCATATGGAACCTTGGGAAAATGTTGGGTTTTCATACCAATTGTGAGGATGATGTTACTGTCAAGAGATTGAAAGAGTTGGCAGATCGAGATTGAGCAGGCGTGTTCCTGAAGGAAGCAGAAACAACATGGTAGTTAGATTTTGTGGCATCGTCAGTCTTAGGTGATTGGAATGTTTTTAGCTGGTGTTGATGATTCAAAATTTTAGGAGTATAGAGGTTTCCTTCATGCTGTTCTATTATAGAGTTTGGATATCAGATTCAAAGCAATGAGGTTGTAAGGGTAAATATTCTATTGTTGAAGGTGAGAGTCAGGTGAAATATTTGATAAATGATATGGTTTTCAATATTGAAGCTTAGCAATATTTGGGTATTGTCTTTTTGTAATTGTTTTGATTGATCTGATTGATATATGATTTTAGAATTGTTTCGATGTTTAATTTCTTTAAGAAGTGTTGATATAAGTTATTGGGCTGTTGGATTGATATTTTAGTTAGTTTGTCTTCAAATTTGCTTCGAACAACATTTGATGCTTTGTTAGCTTCATTAGTTTTGTAACTTCTTGGTCGCTTAATAAATTTATTTGGCCTAGTAAAAAAAAATTCATGTAATCAATAGATAGAATTTTAATTTTAACAATAAAATTTAATCTCTTCCAACTACAGTTCTGATTATTATTTAAAGATGTAGCATAATTAATGTATACTTTTCTATAAAAAAATTACTTAAATAATTTGAAGAACCCTAATAATCTTCAAGACAACATTAAGTTTATAAAAAAAATATTTGAAAAGTTATTTGTATGTTATTAATCATTATTTAAAATTAATTATATTAAAAGTAAGTATTACGTTAGCTAAAAATTTATAATTCATGTATTATATTAAATATTTTTAAAATTTAAATATTATATTTAATATTTTATTATAATTTAAAGATCATTCATAAACATTAACCCGAACAAACGTGGGATTCATCAAGTTTTTAGCTGCACATATATTAACCTTTTATTGATTTCTAAAGTTTGGTCCCTTGCCTGCCTCTACATAAAGAGAATAATTCCTCTTCTTCACCTAATTTCTATTGGTTGTAATCACCCCTACATATTTATATCCGCTTGAATTGTTAATAACTCATTGTTTTTTTTTTTTTTTTTTAATATTTGAGATCATTAATATTTAAATTTTAATTAATAAAATTAAAAATATAATATTTTATTATTAAATTATACGATCATTGAAACTCATCATATCGTGTAAGAGTCAAGACTTAAAAAAAAAAAAAAAAAACAGCTAATATTTTGCTGAGGAGCTACATTTAGTTGTCCAGGATCACCACCCAGGAATTAGAGCATGATTTTTAAATTCCATGTTGCATGACAGCAAGATCGATCCATACAATTTAAATCCAATTACTTATCACGTTGTGTCATTTTCATTGACAAACATGAATGAAAATAACGAGGAAAACGTCTGCTATAGGTGCTGGAAAAATATTCGCCAGGGTAAGATAAGCCGAGCAGATCAAATCAAAGCATTAACTAAAAACTAGACATGGACTATTCAACCTTTTCAATCCACAATTGAGCCTTTTGTCTTGGTATCTTTGTACGAATTTTCCACCTCGCTTTCACGTGAAACATGCAAGCAAATTCCATTTAATTTAATTAATTTATATAATTATTTTAAAAAATAATTTTAAAAATTTTAAAAAAATCAAATCTCAAATCTTAAAATTTATAATTTATCTTTTATTTTTAGAATGCATCTTTCTTTATTAAAAAAAAAAATCGCAAGCGATGCCTGGCATGCAGCCTGCAGGTGACATTAATCAAGGCTGGTAGTTGATGGTACGTGAACCCACCTTGGTGATTTTGTAATGTCGCAGCATTAATGCTTTGCTCGATAAACTTTGCTACATTTTTCATAATATTTATGGACGAGAAGTTCGTTTGGCATATAAGAAATTGTTCAACATTAGGATAGGTATGTATTTTTTTTATCGACTTTTTTTTTATTTTGAAAAAAAAAATGAAATTTACTCTTTAAACAACAATCATTCGTTAATCACTAAATTATTTTAATGTAAATCGAATATGTCATTATTTAAAAATTGTATTTGATATATATAAAAAATCTAATATTTATCTTTTTTAAAATTAATGATGGGATATGCATATTTTATACTAATTAATTAATATTTTTATAATCTTGCACTCAATCAAACTATTATATATCTAAAAATAAAGGAAAATAAATGAATTTACATAATTTTTTTATCTATAAAATCTTATATTCCGTTTGTGGAAAGAGAAGAAATAAAAATTTTTATATAACTAAAATTAACAAAATTAATTACAATTGAACCTCAAATATTTTCCTTATTTCCAATTTTTTATCTTTTCTACTTGAAAAAAAGTTTTACACTAATGAAATTAATGTAAATTTACACAATTTTTTTGAAGTAATTAGCACACGTTTTTAATTCCAATTTTGAGTGCTATAACAAAAAAAAAATCACAATCCCTAAAATAAGGCTATGGCTATCCATACAACTAAGTTTCATGGATGCACAATTCCCAAATCCAGCATTAATATCATCCCTTCTTTCATTTTTTATTCATTATTTTCCGGGACGCAAACAAAAAAAAAGGGTAAAAAAAAGGTTATAACTCTCAAAATAAAATTATTTTAATAAAAGTTTTTATCCATTTTTGTTCTAAAATATAAATTTTATTTAGTGATAACAACAAATTATTAAATCCTAGAATTGATTTTGAGCTAGTTTGTTTGATCCCCAAACGCTGCTTTAAAGAGGGCCCTCGTTTCTAGGGGAGGTGAAGAATCAAGATCCAGCCAATCATCTGGGCCCCTTATCGACCCAAGCCCAAGCTCAAACCCGAACCCATCAGCCCTTCAAATATCAATTACAGTTCGCTCTCTGCTCCTCGCTCCATTTCTCTCCCTCTCTTTTTCTGTCTGGCTGTAAACAATGGAGCCGTGGCTCGACGACTTAGCCGACGATCTCCAAAGCCTAAGCTTCACTTCTTCTTCCACCGCCACCATAAACCGTAGCACTAGCTCAGGCTCGGCCTCCAACTCCGGCTCTTCCTCTCTCGCTCCCTCCGCTCATGGCTCCTTCTCTTCCAAACCCCATAGTTCCGGCTCCCTCTCCCTCTCCGACCTTCGCTTCTCCCTCCGCCTTGGCTCTGGCGACATCGGCTCCGTCTACTTAGCGGAACTCAAATCTCCAGCCCCACCTCCCGACACCAATGCCGCCAACACAAATAAAAACAACAGCAGCAACAACAACAAAAACAACAACATGAAAAGCCAAGTCGTTTTCGCGGCAAAAGTGATGGACAAGAAAGAGCTAGCGTCGAGGAGTAAAGAAGGAAGAGCGACGACTGAGAGGGAAATACTCGAATTGTTGGACCATCCTTTTTTACCTTCTCTTCACGCCGCTATCGATTCCCCTAAATGGCTTTGTTTATTAACCGAGTTCTGTCCAGGTGGCGACCTTCACGTCCTCCGTCAACGTCAACCTCTCAAACGTTTCCCCGATTCCACCGTCAGGTACATCCTCTCCGTTAACCGCTAAAGTCTTTTAAAAAAAAAATCATTCTCTTTTTTTTTTTCCTTATTATTATTTTTGGATTTTTGAGAGTGATGGATCAGAGAGAAATGGGCCCGCAAACTGGCGGAGTGTCAGTTCGGAGTGGGGCCCAATTGCTAGTTTTTCGCTGTAAATCGGATCAAATTAGTTTCGTTATTTTCGTTATGATTGACGGTAGATCCGGTTCCGGATTGGCTATTATGGTGAAAACGTGTTAGAGATTTGACTTTTTAAGGTAGTAAGCCAATAATTTTGGGACGCGTATTCACGTACATTTATGGACTCTAGTACCTAAAATATCGCATCAATACCACCGTTTCGTTTCATAATTTCTGGGTACATTGGCCAATTAATGCACTTCGCTTAAATTTTTAAAGAGTTAAAGTACATAAATTAGATTAGTGTTTGAGGGTTGGGAGAGACAGCTCAATCACACGGCAGAGTCATATGATGATTCCATCATTTAGTATTTCTCTAGATTAATTATTATTAAGAAATTAATATTTGACCACAGTTTGCATGAGTAATAGTGTTCTCATTAAGAAATCACTATGCTCTCATTTGTGAAATTTATTAATAGCCAAGTGAAATGATTTGGATTGAAAATTTGGGAAACAAAATTGAATTGCGGTAGCTAAAATTAAGGAAAACTATTACATGAATGATATGGGGTCATATATTTAGACTGTAATTAGTATTTGGTAGTTTAGAAATTGAGAAATTAATGAGAATAGGATTAGCACTAGAGCAAGTTGTGCATCTTATGTCAGTGGTTGTGACTAGTGAAGTGTGGCCATAAATGCTTGTCTTTTAATTGTGATCCCACAGGAAATTTTCTTTTCTTTTGTTTGACCACAGGAAATCTGAATCAAGTAATACGAATTCCCTTTTCTTTTGCTGGATTTATGGGATTTGTTTTATAAGTTGAAGCTTTGATGATGGTAGACCCTGTTTTTATTTCTTCGTTCATATAGCTATCTGGCCCTCCCCTGGTTGTCTTTTCCATCTAGCCATACAATATTAATGATGACATTGATGATATGATGTTTATATAACCACCATTTTTTAACTGGAATTGGAGAGGGTTTTGTGTTTCAGCAAATAAGGTTAAAGAGAAAACAACAAATCTTTTTGCAGATCTTTCTGCTTTGATAATGAGAGGTTTAATGATTGATATGTAATGTTTCTGACTTTCTGTATGCATTATTCAATATTAGATTATTGTCTATTGATAATGCATATTCTCATTTATGTCCTAATGCTTGTCTCTTGATAGATCTTCATAAATAAGCTCAGAATTGTTATTTGATATTCTCACCCACTAAATTTTTAATTGTATTTCACTTTAAAGGAATCAGATTCTGACATGTTTTATACTTTTTTGAACATTATTAATTCCAAGACACAAAATAATAGGGAACATCTAGGGAGAGAGCAATGAGAATATTCTGCAATATAAAGGACACAAGTTAGAGAAACTTTTGATTGCTTTACTTCTCCAATTTTCATTTGAAGATTTTTGCCTTGTTACATCGATCTGTTCCATGAAAAGATTCTGATAGGAAGCTAGAAAAAGAGACATGTAGGTCCCTTATAGTATGCATAATATGTTATAGAGGTAGAAGCAAGATAATTTCTTGTCTTAGTTTAGTGTATAAATCAAGTTTAAAATCACAGTGGAATGATAATAATGGTAGTAGGTCCTTATGTCCCTTTGCTAATGTGATAAAAAAGTACATGACAATCTGAGCATCTCAATTATTTTCTTGTCTACAATACTTTCTTGAGAAAGGAAAAGAAAAAGGGTATACCTCTCTTATCTCCAGGTATTCGTGGACCCTCGCTCAAGATTGTAGTATTATGAAGTTGTTGGTCTTGATTAACCTAATGAGATAATGATGAAAGTAGTGATTAAAATTATAGGTAGTTTATTGCTTTGTTGGTTGGTTGTAATTTTTAATACAAGTTTTTGTTTCTTGGTGACTGCAGGTTCTATGCATCAGAGGTGGTGGTAGCTCTAGAGTACCTTCATATGCTGGGGATTGTTTATCGTGATCTAAAGCCTGAAAACGTGCTTGTTCGATCTGATGGTCACATTATGCTCACGGATTTTGACCTCTCGTTAAAATGTCATGATTCTACAGCAACACCCCAGATTATTTCTGCTCAAAAACCACCAGTTCCGGTTCCGCCAAGCGACTATCTTATTGATCATCCTCCTTTCACATCCTCTTCATGCATTATTCCAAATTGTATAGTACCTGCTGTGTCATGTTTCCACCCAAAACGCAAACGCAAAAAGAAGACCGGCCACCGTGGTGGGCCTGAGTTTGTGGCCGAGCCCATTGATGTCCGGTCCATGTCTTTTGTCGGGACCCACGAGTATTTGGCACCGGAAATTGTGTCCGGTGAGGGCCATGGCAGCCCTGTGGACTGGTGGACGTTGGGGATCTTTATGTATGAACTGTTTTATGGGGTAACACCATTTAAGGGTGTGGACCATGAGCTAACCTTGGCTAACATTGTGGCTCGAGCCCTTGAGTTCCCTAAGGAACCCACAATTCCCGCAGCGGCTAAGGATCTTATTTCCCAACTACTGGTCAAGGATCCTGCAAGGCGGTTAGGGTCCACAATGGGTGCATCAGCCATCAAGCACCACCCATTCTTCCAAGGGGTCAGCTGGGCATTGCTAAGATGCAGAACCCCACCATATGTACCTCCACCATTTAGTAGAGAAGTTGTATCAGATGAAAGCTGTCCAGAAACCCCAGTGGATTATTATTAGGTTAAGTAAAGGAAATAAGTAAATAAGAAAATTTCAAGAATCCTCATAGCATTCAATATAACTGGTGATTATAATTTTGCAATCATCCTCTTGGCATTCACGTTCCCAACCGCTCGAGCCGCCATTTGAGGCCATGGCCATCGTTAGGCCAAGGGCATGTGTAAATATATGAGATAAAGAACCGAAAACTTCATCTCAACTAACCTGGCAACTGGCAAGATATTGTTGGAGTAGGGGACAAATCATTCAGGTTTGTAAGATTTGTTGGCATGACAACGACCCTAACAATATCATATTCATCACAACTCTTTGTATGGTTGGGATATAGTGCGTTTTTGTAGCCAACTATTATCAGTTAACATTTTCCATACATATATTTTATTTCGAGAAGGGAAATTTGAATCTTAGATTTTGATGGAAATAATCGGATGCAAGCATTTTTTATATTTCATGGTGACAGGGATGTATGCAAGCAAACATTTTTTTTTTGGGTTATATATGTTTGAGGTCAATGCCGGAGCATAGGATCCCGACAATCCACATGCAAACAATCATTGATATTGACCTAGGGGATGGAGAAAGCCGGTGGCGCCGCGTGATAGGCTGCCCACCGATCACGGGGGAGGGGGAGAATGGGCATAACCATAAGGGGAAGGAAACTGCTGCTTTGTTTGTGTGTGTTTGGTCGTGAAAGATCATGCCCCCACCATGTGATTTGTTTACTCCGTAGGGAAAATGTGGGGTATTTTGCCATGATTTTCCTTTTTATTTTTTGGGTTTTCCCTTTAGATTGCTTCACATGATCTCTGCGTACTTCCTCTATGATGCCATCAAATGGTTTTTTTTTTCTTTATTGGCATTTAGTGCAACCAATATTGAGATATGTAAGTATATTTAATACCATATATCTTTACAATTTAGTCTGAAAGTTGCAACTTTTTCGTCATCAAATGTTTAATGGTATACGCTTTTGATATTTTATTTTTTTCCATCCTTTTTAACAGAATTTGATTACAGCTTCTTCTACGAATAAAAAGCCTAAGTGGGGTAAGAATAGTATATCTCCTTTTGGCTTATGGAATTGGATGCTGGCTGCTGGCTGCTAGATATCCCATCCCTTTGGCATTGTTATTCTCCAAATACCCAAATTTTATAGATAAAAGCATGGTGAATTTTGTCTCATGATGAGGCACTTCTACATCGCTTACAATTTTTTTTTTTTTTTTTTTATAAAGGATAGTTATAACGTAGTTAGAAAATAAAAGAAAAAATTATAAACATTAATATTTGAATTTAAGTCAGTGAGGTGTAGTTGCCATGAGAAGCTGTGCCCGCTTTGAGCCTTTTTTTTTTTTTTTTTTTTTTTTAAAAAAACGACTCAGTAGGGCAATGGATAAAATTTAAAGTCTATCAACGGGCCATTTTTGGTCCAGTTGATAACCGGCCACTAATTTCATTTTTATTCTTATTTTATCCTTTACATTATATTATTATATCGAAAATATTTTTATGATTTGTTTTTTATTTAAAAATCTTGAAATATTTTTATTAATTTACTATTATAAAAATATTTTATTACTTATTAATAAATTTTATTATTTATTAGCAATTTTTATATAATAAATAAAATTTATAAATATTAAATAATTTAAAATTTTATTTTATACATATTTTAATTTAATGTTTTTAATAGTCAATTATTTTTTATTATAATTTATCTTATCATCACAATTTTTTTTATATCTAAATATATGTTTAATTATTGATTTTAATCTCACAATTAAAATAATTAATCTTAGTTTCACAACTATTTTTGATTTCATAAAATCAATCTTATCTCCATCCAAATAGATCTTATATTTTTTAAATATTATTTCTTAAAATGACCGTAAAACCAACTAGATTAAACTTTCTTTTTTCTCTTCAGCATGTCTTCTTGTCTTCATTCCCCACCCTGTTAGGTCATATATCTAAATACTATTTTCTTTTTGTGTTGTAAATCAAATAGGCCAACTGCTGAAACCATTGGGCTACGATTTCGGCATAAGGCCCAGATAACCCATTAAGCTAAATTTTCTCTTCTTCTTTCTCTTTCATTCTCTTCGTCTACTCTTTTTCTGCGTATCTCCGAAGCAGGAAAAAAGGAAATAGAAAACGCAGATGGAAGAACCACAAAACGGCAATACAAATTTGAATACAGTCGCGGAGGTGGAGGAGCTGGTAATAGGACCCGGACCCGCCCCTCGAGCCCGACCCAAGCGCCCGCTCCAGTTCGAACAAGCATATCTCGATTCCCTTCCTTCGGCTAACATGTAATTATCTCCACTCTCTCCTTTTAAAAGAAACTTTTTTTTTCGTTTTTTCGAAGCAATTATCTATTTAATGGTAGAATTTTCTTGTTTTCTCATGGATTAATAGGGTTTTATGTGTTCCAAATTGTATTCATTCCTTTGGGGTTTAGGGTTAGGGTTTAGAATTTAAGCTTTTGCCTTTTGCTTTCTGAAGCGAAAAAAAAAAGTAGCGAGTAGCAAAGGCAACAAGCCAACAACAAAAGAACCTTAATTTCTTACTACTATAACGAAAGTTAACTCATTGAAGTTGTAAACAGAGCTGAGAGAATTCTTGATTTATGTCTTTGTTGTACTTTGTAGGTATGAGAAAAGTTATATGCATCGTGATGTGGCTACTCATGTCGCTGTATCGTCTGCAGATTTTTTCATTACTGGAAGTGTTGATGGTAAGTTTTATGATGTCAATATCCATAAACAATATCTAAAAGACTCATTTATCTCATGTCTGTTTTAAGTGAAAATGCTTCTTTTTTTCTCGGTTTTTGGCTTAAGTTTTATGAGTAATATTTGAGGCTTTCCCTGTGAAGGGAGTTTAGGTAGTAGCTTATACCTTTCTTGATTGCTTGTTGATCCTTCTTCGTTTTATTTATTTATTTTTATACTAGGGCATTTGAAATTTTGGAAGAAAAAAGCTATTGGGATCGAGTTTGCAAAGCATTTTAGATCCCACCTGGGTCCCATTGAAGGTCTAGCGGTGAGCTTTCCTCCTTGTTTTACTGATGCTTGTTGTGGTTAAAGTTTAAACTTTTTTTTCTCAGTTCATCCTTGCTTTAACATGTAGGCTGTCACATAATGTAGGTATATTACATGTACATTAATAATTCTGTATTGCTGATAGGTCTGCCATCAGTGTTTACTCTTTGTTATATTGGACTGCTATGGAAAGTTTAACTAAAAGTTGGTTTTAATATGATCTGTTATGTCAACCCTTGTGTTTTAATTTCCCTGTCTAATTTTGTGTGTCACTGCTTTCTTATTAAATATTGCATTCTTATTTTGTGGTTAATGTGCCCATCATTGCTTTATATTGCAAGTCCATCTAGGCTTTGCACAGTCTATTTGTTATTTTCTGTCTAGTGAAGTTTGCATTCTGTAGGGGTTCTGATCTTTATTCTCATCCCATGACTGTTGTTTGAAGATGTAGGGAACTATATTGACTTATTTATGGTTTTACTCCTCCTTTTCAAGAGCCATGTATTTACCAACAACTTCATAAGTAAAATTTTTAAGCGTTATGTTATTACAATATGAAAATAAATGTTGCCATAAAATTCGGAGGTGCAGTTAAAGTCTTTTAATCAGTATGGTGTAGTTTTATTCACTTCTCTCTCCATAGTTCCTACATACATGGCTTTGATGTGAAAGATACATTTCTCCAACGGTTGAATTCCATGTGGGTTTGTGCATTTTGTGGTTTGCATATTTTTTTAACATTCGAAAGTTTTGTCATTCAAAGCAGCAAATCCTTTAGCTTTCCTTAGTCTGTATCATTCTTTATTTGATTTTCTGTGAGCTTCTTGTTGGTGGAGTCATCAACCATGACTTGTTCAGCTATGCAGGTTAGTGCAGATGGTTTACTTTGTTGTACAATTTCCAATGATCGTTCGGTGAAGGTATATGACGTGGTCAACTATGACATGATGGTCATGCTTCGCCTACCTTATGTTCCTGGTGCTGTTGAATGGGTCTACAAGCAAGGGGATGTTAAAGCTAAGCTTGCCATTAGTGATAGAAATTCATCATTGGTGCATATATATGATGCACGAGCTGGTTCAAATGAACCTATCATCTCGAAAGAGGTATCTGTACTATGTTGAAAGTTTGCACAATTTTAACTTTTTAAAAGTCTCACTTTTCCATTTATTCATGTTTACCAATTTAGTGTTTGAACTCATTTTCCAGATACACCTGGGCCCAGTGAAAGTAATGAGGTACAATTCTGTATTCGACAGTGTTATATCTGCTGATGAGAGGGGAATTATTGAGTATTGGAGCCCTACCACACTTCAGTTCCCAGAAAGCGAGTATGTCCTGATGTTCATATATACAACCATTAACAATGTACTTTTATTACAGGGAAGATTTACATTTTTCAACTACCATTGACGTATAAACTTTTAATTTTTGTTTGGATTACTCTAAAAACTGTTTTCTATTGTTACAGACCAATGTTGTAACCTGATTATGGTGTTTACATGTTGAGCATTTCATTTGTAGATGAACATAAGTTTTGTATTTCTTAGTAAGTAATATATGGTGCATGCAGGGTTAATTTTAGATTGAAAAGTGACACTAATCTCTTTGAAATTGCAAAATGCAAGACAACCATTTCTGCCATTGAGGTATGATCTATACTCCTGCATTCAAGTTGGTTTTTTTTTTTTTTTTTTTTTTTTTTTTTTCTAGATTTTATGACTATAATTCTTTTGTTTTATGGTTATATAATTTTCTTTTTAAAAAATTTTTTTTTTCTCATTTTAAAGGAGTTGTTATGAATACTGTATTTTATTGCTGTTCAGGTGAGCCCAGATGGTAAGCAATTTTCTATTACATCACCTGATCGTAGGATACGTGTCTTTTGGTTCAGAACTGGTAAATTAAGGCGAGTTTATGATGAATCACTTGAGGTAAAATTAATGAACAGTGGATTTTGATAGAGATGCTTTTGGAATTTCTTGTGATGTTCAAAACCCTTTTGATTAGGTGGCCCAAGATCTTCAGAGAAGTGATGCTCCCATGTATCGGCTGGAAGCTATCGACTTTGGCAGAAGAATGGCTGTTGAAAAGGAAATTGAAAAAACCGAAATGGCTCCTCAACCAAATGCAGTTTTTGATGAAAGCTCCAATTTCCTCATATATGCTACTCTTCTTGGGATAAAAGTAAGTTTCTTCTTATTAGATTCTACATAAAATAACTAGCTGAACCATTTTTGTAACAGCAATTAAGTATAAATTTTTGTGCTATCTTATTTCTTTAATAATGCTTGTTTATTTCCTCATATTTTGATAGATGGTAAATTTACACACCAACAAAGTTGCTCGAATACTTGGAAAAGTGGAGAGCAATGACAGATTCTTGAGAATTGCATTATATCAAGGTGATCGAAGTAGCAAGAAAGTAAGAAAAATTCCTGCTGCTGCAGCAAATGTCAATGAAAGCAAAGAGCCATTAACCGATCCAACTCTCTTGTGTTGTGCTTTCAAGAAGCATAGGATCTATTTATTCAGGTATAAGAATCTACTGCAAGACTTCTACTGACTGACAACAGCATGTTTGACTTGTAATGCATAATGCAACAAAGAATGACTTGTAGATGCTACATGGTTGAATCACCATTGAGATACTCTTGTTATTGAAGTCTGAACGGATTTCGGGTTATTGATGTCATAGGCTCATAGCAATAGGTAAATTTATTTGGATAACAAATCAAGTGTGGTAGTGTATTGTCATGTATATCAAAAACATTGTCACATGTCTGTCTTATGTGCCTGTGCATTGGTTGTTTCTTTGAAAATAAATTTGACAACTGTTGAGGTGCCTGTTTACATTTTGTGGTTACAATTATGATTTACCTTCTGAATACATTTGATTACTCTGATGGTCTTTAATGGTTTATATAGTCGACGAGAACCAGAAGAACCTGAAGATGCCACAAAAGGAAGGGATGTCTTTAATGAAAAGCCACCTGCTGATGAGCTTCTGGCTGTATCTGATATTGGGAAAGCAGTTACAACATCTCTTCCTGACAATGTGGTGAGATTTCTTTCTTTAATGTGTATGGATAGGAAATACTAGAAATTGTTATGGCCTTGCTTCTATTCACAATAATGACAATAAGAAGTTTAATAACCAAAAGTAAATAAAATATGAGGAGAGCTTTGTTCGAATCTTTCAGAACATAAAGGTAATGACATATCAAAAACAATTTAAAATTTTACCCAAGTATGTTTAGTTTGGAAATTCTTTAAGACCAGCTGTTAAGACAGGGGACCAAAGGAACTCCTTTATATCCCTCTCTCTCTCTCTCTCTCTCTCTCTCTCTCTCTCTCTCTCTTTATCATCCTCCTTTTTCTCTCAATGGACATAACCGATTAATTGGTGTCCTAGGAGTTAAAAGGTTATTGGCATGCAGGAAATGGTTAATTGGTAGAAAATCTTTATTTTAGTGTCAACATTTTCTAATTTTCCTGAAAATGGCCCATAAAAATAATTTAAAATAAGGTTTGAAAATAGTTCTGCTGAAATCAGTGCTAGTTTTACTATCTTTCTCTTTTTCTTCCCTTTTTTTCCCTAAGGTAGGGTTGTTTTAAGCTTTATAATTTCTTACATAGTTTAGTTCATTCTCTTTGCTTTATGTCTTTGTTTGGCATTCTTTTATTATTAGCTCTCTGTTTTTCCAGATACTGCACACCACAATGGGTGATGTTCACATGAGACTCTACCCAGAAGAATGTCCAAAAACTGTGGAGAACTTCACAACACACTGTCGGAATGGCTATTATGATAATCTCATCTTTCACCGTGTCATTAAAGGATTCATGATACAAACAGGAGATCCATTGGGAGATGGCACTGGTGGGCAGTCTATTTGGGGAAGGGAATTTGAGGATGAGTTTCATAAAAGGTAACCAATTTGGCTTTTTCCAAGATGAAGCATTTGGCACTTCTCACAACATTCTAGAATTTTCAGGTGTGAATGTGGTGCATTAGTCGGAGGACACCACATAATTAAATATTCCTAAGTCCTGATCCCTTACCTGTTTGTACCCCCTCCCCTGTTGATTGTGCATGTGCCTGCAGTCATGTTCATATTAGCTTGCTTGTGTGATGCTATATGCTTTCTGTAAATGCTTTTGGAGATACAGTTGATTTGGCATTAGTCTGGAATTTATATGATTAACAAGGATTCAAGTATCTTTGAGTTTATCAACTATCTGCCTTCACTTCCTTGCTATGCTACTCTTAAAGTTCAGAGGATCTCTTAGCCTAATGGCATACAATGGTTTGTGTTATTTATTGGATTTCCAAGGTGCATTAAAGCTCAACTGACTGTTGGATGAAACATTTCTGCCCTTGCAGTTTACGACATGACAGGCCTTTCACAGTTTCGATGGCTAATGCTGGCCCAAATACAAATGGCTCTCAGTTTTTTATAACCACAGTGGCCACTCCGTGGCTGGACAATAAGCATACAGTATTTGGCAGAGTTGTTAAGGGAATGGATGTTGTGCAGGTATATATTTGAGACTATATCTCTGCAGACAGTATTATATGGCTATTGTCGCTGCTGTAGTTTATTTCTTTCATCTCTTTTCACAGATGCACATGCATGAAAGGAGGACTCAACGTGTTTTTATCTCTGCTTTTCCTGAAAAGATGAAAAAAAATATAAAAATTGGAGGTTTTTGGGTTAAGAGTCTCTATATTTAAATTGCTTTGGAACCTTAGGATGCGTGTCTTGGTATGTTTAATAGAGATTGGACCATCATATGTGATTCTCATTCACTGTTGGCAGGGGATTGAGAAAGTGAAGACAGACAAAGCTGACAAGCCATATCAAGATGTAAAAATCTTAAATGTGACTGTGCCAAAGTCTTAAGTTTCTTCCTGTGGTGAATCTTTCTAGGTACTTTTTGACCTGCATTGAACATTGGCCATGGGAGACTATATATCTCAGATAAGTGGTTAGTGTTTTTCCATTATTCTTGTCCTTGCCGACTGATACGTTAGAATTGCTAATGTGCATCTTCCATATACGTAGTAATTTGTTTCAACCACCTCAACGCTAGCACGATTTATAGCTCAAAATTTTATATCTTCTCACATTTTATGTGTTGCTTTGCCAGGTATATCAGGCTTGAACATGATTGGAATCAGAAGTTTTTTACTCATCATTATGCAGTCATAGGTCGAGGAGGTCTCGATCTTCAGTTTCTGTGTAACCTTCCTGAACTTAATTACTTTTGTTCAATTTAAAATAATTTCCCCGTAGAATCGATATTCAATATATAATATTTAATATAATGATTGTAGGTAATGCCCACTCATTATATAAATAAAAGGTAATTTGAAGATCAAGGACAACAAATCATGCCATCACATTTTAGTTTTCTATTAAAATTTGTTTCTAGTCTAATTAATGATTGAACTTCATGAGTGCCTGGTTCTACAATATTATTTTTCCCTTGATATAATAACACATTTATCTACCATATATATAATTTATATAATGTAAGTGTCACCTTAAATATAATAAATGAGCAAAAGAAATATATTCCATATGGTAGGTATGGTTCAAGGTGCGTGATGACATAAATATACATGTGGTCATTGGTTTTGTTGTCTTATCTGTCATTTTTTTATGAGAAGAGGCAAACTGAAATATATAAGATTTTTTTCCCTCAAAAAACCTAACAACTAAATATAAGAAAATAATAGCATTCTCTTACCCCAAATCTTTCTTTCTTCTTTTTTTTTTTAATTTTTCCATAGCCTAAAACAAATGTACTAAGTATGGCAGGCAAAGTTCAAGGCAGGTGTGACACAGAGACATATAGTTATTGTTTTTGTTGTTTATCTGTCACTTTTTTTATGGGAAAAAGTAAAATCAAATATGAGATTTTTTTTCCTAAAAAAGCCTATCAAGTGAATATAAGAAAAAATGGTATTTTCTTACCCAAAATCTTTTTTCTTTCGTTTTTTTTTTTTTTTAAATTTTTCCATACCTTAAAACAAATAAACTCCATATCGTAGGTAAAGTTCAAGGCACATGGTGACAGAGAGATGTGTGATTATTATTTTTGTTGTCTTATCTATCATTTTTTATATGGAAAAATAGAAAACTCAAATATGCAGGATTTTTCCCCCAAAAAGTCTATCATCCAAAATACAAGGAAACAACGGCATTGTCTTGCCAAAAACTTTCCTTTCTTTCTCTGTTACCATTGTCCCATAGTCTGAAAAAATATACTCTATATAATAGGTAAGGTTCAAAGCGCGTGGTAACATAGAGAAATGTGTATAATTATTATTCTTATTGTCTTATTTATAATTTTTCTATAGAAAAAAGTAAACTCAAATATTTGAGATTTTCTCCTAAAAAAAAAAAAAATTAGCTAACAAAGCTATCATGCAAATATAAGAAAATAATGGCATTCTCGTGCCCCAACCTTTCTCCCTTTTCTTGATTTTCTCATAATCTGAAACAAATATTTATATAACTTTATATAAAAAGTATCTCAAATAGAATAATGGCTTGACATGTGTTTTTTTTTTGTTTAGCTTTCTTTGTTGTGGAATAGTTTTCGGTTAGATCTTAGCGATGTTAGATTTCTAAGTCCTAAATCATATTTTTACATAGCAGTAACCCCAACGGATAGTACAAGTGACGAGTGTTTGTTTTTGTTGAGTTTTTCGCTTGGATTTATATGGGTTTTTGACACGTATTATAAGTGTTTGGGGCATAATTTTTGATACGTTCATACTTTAAAGTCAATTTTTCATTTTAAAGTATTTTAATTAATTTAAACATTTGCATAGAATGAAATTTAGTATTTATTGATGATATCAAGCGCGCGCGTGACAAATCAATAAAAAAATATTAAAAGATTTGGAAAAAGGTAAGGAATAAGATGTGTTAAAAAAAAAGGGTAAAAAAAAAAATTAATCGAAGAAAATGAAATCTTGCATGTTGAGATCATCTATAATCATATAAAAGCTTGATTTGATATCAATTTATTCAAATTATTAAGTTTATATTTTATTTAAAAAGAGAGAGATATGAACTTTTTTTTTTCAAAGATTTATTTGTTTGCATTTTTATTGTTATTTTTTTTTTTAAGTTTTAAAATTGGATTACGATTGCAATTATTTAAGTTATAAACATTTATGCATAAATTCTTTATTTGATTCATACTTTTGCTTCTTAACTACTTTTACATTGCCTTCTCTATTTTATTTATAATTGAATTCAATTTTATTTTATTATAATCTTATTTCAATTCTACTTTATATAATACAAGAGAATACAAATTGTATCTTTCAACATTTTTCTCTAAATCAACAATCAATATTTTTATTATTTCTTCAAAAATTTTGCACTACAAACAGAAAAAAAACTTAAAATTATAATTAAATAAAAATTTTTTGAATTTTAATATTAAATATTTTAAAATTAATTTTTTTAAATTTATAAAAATTAATATATGATAAATATTTTGAGACGAAAAAAATATTTCATATGCTGGGTAAACTTCTAAGCGCGTGATGACAGAGTGAGGCGTATAGTTAATGTTTTTATTTTCTTATCTGTCATATTTTGTAACTGTTCTGAATAGTAGAGCTGCCAAATCAGGATGACACTGCCAGTTTAGATTTCATTATTATCACCAAAAACTCACTTTCAAAACCATTTTTAGTCTCATCTCTCCACTATTATACATTTATACATTGCATATATATAAGTAGGATTCTCTGTTTGGTTCCTCGACTCTGACAGGTGGTCTAAAACCAGGTAAAAAGCAAGAGAGAGACATTGAGACTGACGTTAATCTTCACTTTCTCAAATAAACGTTCAATCCTCTTTATCACTTTCTCAAATAAACGTTCAATCCTCTTCACTTGCGTTTCCTTCTATCTATTTCTTTTCTCTGTGCAGAAAGAAAACAAGAAGAAAAAATGGTGGGCACTACTCTTTCAGAACAGCTCAACAACCACATTCAGACCATGCATGATCAGGTTTTATTCCTGTTTTTTTCATTGTTTTTCCTTTGAAAAATCTTCAGTTTTTTTTTTATTATTATTATTAATTTTATGGGTTTGGTTCCATTGTAGGGCATCCTAGACCACCATTTCGACCATGTGAAAAAGTTACAAAATGAAGGAAATCCTCAGTTTGTTGTGCGAGTGATCTCAATGTTCTTCAATGATGCTGAAACTGGCATTGCCCAAATCACGTCATTTCTGTATGTTTTTTACATCACAAATTTCGTAGTTTCTTTTTTTTTTTTTCTCAACTGATTTTTAGATCCATATTTATACATTTATTTGATTACATATATACATGAACAGGAACTCAGATGATGTGGACTTTGCAAAGACCATTAACTATGTTCATCAGCTCAAAGGCTGTAGCTCAAGGTAATATACATATACATATTTCAGATCTATTCAGTAAAAGCAAAGGATTTTTATAGCAAATTTTATGCTAATAAAATTTTTTTTCCCAAAAAAATATTTCTAACTCGAAAGTCGAGACCAATTGATTTTTGATAACACAAAAAGAAATTTATATGAACTATTATGTTATTTATAAATATATAGATGTATGAACATGAAATGAGGTAAAATTTTCATAAGCAATCACTATATACTATTTATATTCTTTTTAATTAATTTGGATGTATTTTTGCATGATAATAACTTAATTATATATTTACAAAATTTAGATAAGATCGATCGTAATAATTTCTATACACGTGATAATTGATCTAAATCCGAAACATTTGGAAATAAATTTTTATTTTAAAAAATTAAACACGTGCTTATGGCGGGTGATGATACATACATATTATTTAAATTTTAACTATTTTTCTTTGTTATATTTTTATAATTAATACTCAAACTCTAAACCTGATTACTATCAATCTATCAATGCTATTGCCTTAGGGGAAGGGGCGATATCTTCAATAGTTGTTGATTACTCATAACAACAAAGTAATAAGGTTATGATCATGATTAAACTTGTTCATAGGTTGGATTATTCAATTGTGTAAATTTGAGTCGGGTTTTGGATAATGATTTTTGAATTTGAATCTAATCCGTTTTGAGATATGAAAATGTTAATAAAACTAATTTAATTAAAATATATTTAAAATATTAATATTTAATATTTTAAAAAAAATTTTCAAATCTCTTAAATAAGGCTAGACCATGAGTCTTTAATGACTAATTATAGCTAACTCTATCCGACCATGGATACCTTTTTTTTAGACACCTTAATTATTGATTATGCCTATAAACATATGATGCATTTTGATATAAATACAGCATATTAATTTCCATTTCTGCATTTCTTTTTGCCTAGATAAAATATTTTTCGTTACACTCCACTATCTCTTGTGAATGTCTAATACTTTATGTTATTACGTTTACAATCACAGCATTGGTGGACAGCGGATGGCCCTTGCTTGTAGTGAGCTACGAAATGCCTGTGATGACAGGGACAAGCAGAGGTAGGAATTACTAGTGTTCATTAATTAATTTGTTTGTTTTTCATTTATTTCATGTACCTCTGTGGGTGGGATTCTTTTAGCCATCCTTTCAAACTTGTTTTTGCACCAAAAATATTAACATTTGTGCTAATATGTTTTCAGGTGCCTTGAAATCTTTGAGAGGGTGAAACAGGAGTACAGCACTTTGCAGGAATGCTTCAATACCATTTCCCAGGTAATGCTTCATTATGATGTTGAATTTGGTATTAAAAATTTTATAAAATTTGATGACCTATGAAGAATAGTACTATTTTTGGATTATTAGGGTTAAAAAAGCATATGTCAAGAAACATGCAAAAAGGGAGAAAAATCTCAAGAGGTCTAAATCATTATATGTTGTTAATCATCAACCATAGTTTTGATGAAATAAAAAAGTTTCAATCTTAGCTAATTAAATGTGTATATAATTTGAAGTTTAGTTTAATTAGTTAATGTAATTATTTTTAAGACGTGATATCTAAAAACTCTAATTATAATCAAATATCATCACTTGCGATCTTTTTTTTATTCTCAGACCTCTTTTGTATAAAAGAAAGTTGTATAAACCGTTATATAAATTATCCATATGAAACCTAATGGTATGTATTTTTTTTCATATTCTAAGTGATTATTAGTCGCTTAATTGCCGAATAGTATGTGAATATGCATGTTCACTCTAACAATGGTTTTTTTCTTTTCACAGATGGAGAGAACCATCGCCAATGAGACTGGAGGCCGTCAACCATAGCAAGCTCCTTTGTGCTTGCAGCTTTAGCCTTTAGGAACCATCAGGTGTCAGAAATAATGTTGTTTGCTTGAGACTGCTTTAGTTGTTTTATGCTTTGTGTCAGCAAAACCTGGTTTGCTGTTTGTTGTGTCTTTTATGTGCTTTATTGGTACCTAATGATAAATTATATGTCCTTAGTGTTGTGTCTAAAGTTAGTTTCTGATATCCAAACCACCTCCATCGCTAATAGGAGTGACTTTCTATGTTTCTTTTTCATCCTCACCTATTATCAAAGCAATAATTTCTTGTCTTAAAAGAGATTAGTGACGAGTGATAAAGGTTAAATGCTACATTTACTGAATATAGGTATGTAATTATGCACCACCCCTAATTGATGATTTCTACTTCTAGCAATGATAAAAAGCAAATTGAAATAAAACCCGAAACTTAACTTAATCAGTTGGCATCTAATAGATTTGGAATTCAAACATCAGCACTTACAATCTCTTTCTTTATCCTCACAGCCTTTTTGAAAAAAAAAAAAAAGTAAATTGCAGTTTACCAAGTCCTTAGCATCCTTCTGTCAAAAGAAATGAGATGTAGTTATATATAACCAAAACCAAATAAATTGTAGCAGTGTATATATTGAAAATTACTTTATAATTAAACATGATCATATATAGATAAGGTGTTTCAAACCTAGTTATACACATCAATCCTCTTCCATTGGTACTGCTGGAATATCAAACAGGTCTTCCTCAATGGGTTTAGTAATTAGAGAAAGAGAAGAAGGTAATATCAAGTCAAGGAAACATTTGAGTCGAGCAAAGACCAAGGAGAAAAAAAAAAATAACCGAAAATGCACTATCAACTCTGCTCTTTGAATAATTTCAGGAGTAATCTACATTAGAAATTGCAGTGAATAAAACTATTCAGTTAAGAGCACAGAGCCAGGGATTGATAGATCAAAAACAGGCAATGCTCTTATTAATATATGCTTTTGCTTTTAGGGTAGAATTCTAAGGTCTTCTTTATCTTCACAATGAGTTCGAAATTATGTTATAAAAAATTTAAATTATTTAATATTTATAAAATTAATAAATAATATTTTTATTAAATTAAATTAAAAAAATTTGTTTTACTATTTTTAAATAAAAAATTAAAACAGAAAGTGAAAATTTATTATGAAATGATATTTTTATAATTATACTATTATTTAAAGGGTAAAAATAAAACAAGAATGTGACCAATTGGTCACTAGCAAAATTCATTAGTAGCTAAAAGTCACCAATCATGCCTCACCATTGACACCCAAAAGGGTGTTCGATGCTTTTCGCACAAATTTTCAATGCAATTGACCTCTCACTTAAAGTTCAATTGATTCCGAGCGAGGCCAATGTCAATTAGACTTAATTAATTTGTACATTTCTTAATATGAATACATTGATTCACTAAAAAATATTTTCAGTGTTCGAATTTTTTTTTTAAAAGAAACTGTAATTTGAATAAAAAAATTACATGAAATTTAAATTTCAAATTTATTAATAGGGATCTGCTTGCCAACTCAAAGTTCATACATATTTAATTTTTTGCTTTTGTTTATTAATCACACAAATTAATTGGGGACAACAGCATTTACTTGAATGCATGTGTTATTGGGGCCAGTTGCATTTCCTAGGTTTTCGATTTGCATAAATGGCCGGCTACACGAAAATTCCCTCTGGAATGTATGTGGCAGAGAGAACGGAAGAGCAGACTCATAGATTTGAACCCAAACTCTTCCATTTTAGCCATTGGACCTGTTGGTAGAGAGATTTGTACTTTAGATTTCTTTACCTTTTTCAACCCACATATAGATTGAATTCTTGAAATGCATGAGAGGTTAAGGAAGCCGTCAGATCAAAAGAACAAAAGGCGCATAAACGTGCATTAATCCGCATATTCTGCTCCAGGCTTGTCTAAGTCACCTCAGGGCTCAGTGTGCTCCATTGTTTCGGTGCTGATAAAAATGGCATTGATCCCAGTGAAATAAAATACAGGCCAAGGAGCGAAGATACCGTCCGGGAGTGGAACAAACCTTCTAAAGCCATCAAATCATGCTTGAAACTTACGCATACTAAATTCTCTTCAGAATTATGTTCTAGGGGCGATTACCTATCATTTGGATGCAGCAAGATACGAATCAAAGACCGCTCAGTAATAGTTTACTTTCTATTTTTGGACCAAGCTGAAAAAAAGTGTGCTCTGTGAAAGATTGAAGAACATATTCAACCTAGCAGGCACAACAGCTACAGAGGGTTTACTGCATGATAAGACAAGATTTAAAAACAAATCTAACACGAAACAAAGCATCTCCACATTCTCTACCATATGCTAGAAACTGACTTTCAACCAATAAATATCGATACGCTGCATCGGCACAACTTGCAGCCACTCTTCTGCAATTTGATATTGTCTCTAGTGATTCATAAACCCTCAACTCTTTGAGGATATAAAATTAAAAAACTAACTAGACAAGATTCAAACCAACTCTATGCAACTGAGTCTGATTATGTACTTTGATGCATGAAAGGGCAGCTTTGATTAAACCCTACCCCATGGACAAAAATGAAGAAAAGCAACAGAAAGAAGCCTCACAGTTTCAGGTTTGATGACACCAGGCAATCATCCATAAGTAACTCCGCAATTCCCAAGTATACATGGAGAAGAAAACAGGGTTTCACAGTTAATCCTAGCATGAAATATCTCAAGCCTAGAAATTAACTTTGGAGTTAAGACTAATAAAATTAAAAAAAAAAAAAAAAACTACCAGAGATTTATTCAGTCACCTGCCACCATAGAATCTAGCTGGAAATATTAAGAGTCATTCAGCCAAACTCAACCATAAGTAGTGGTTATCCAGAAATCCACAATTATAACTGAAATGTTAATATCTTTAACTACAATTTTCAAACAAAACTTAAAAGTCCCAAGAAGAACGAAAGCCATGTTCAACTACAGAAACAAAAACATATAACAAAACCTTGATATGAGAAGCCTTGATATTTGCATTGCCTGCTTAGTCGAAGAGGCTGAAACCCATATCCTGCATCAAAAGGAAATTACATTAGTGAAGAACACACCAATAAAGATCAGTACAAGTCAACTTCTGTGTAAAAGTGATTACATCATCGGATTCTTCCTTCTCCTCGACCTTCTCCTCTTTTTTGGCCTCGGCAGCAGGTGCAGCAGCAGCACCGCCCCCAGCTGTAGGAGCAGCAACGGCAACAGCACCACCACCAGAAGGAACTGAAGCCAACTTCTCCCTTCCAGATGCAATTAGCTCGGTGATATCTTTTCCTTTGACTTCGGACAAGAGCAATTCTATCCTATCATCATCAGCCTCAGCACCAACTGCAACATATTAAAAAGAAAAATCAAAGAATCATAACCATAAATCATCTAAGCGAAACACCATCACATCAGAAAAGAGTAAATGGAGTAAAGAAAAGAGTAAGAAAATGACCTGATCCGAGAATAGCCTTCAAGTCATCGGCGGAAGGGGAAGGATTCCCTCCCAATACGGCGAGCAAGTAGGCAGCGATCACCTTCATTTTTACTTGACAAAAGAGTAGAGAGAACGAGAAGGGAAAACGAGCGGCGAAGGAAAAAGGGTAGGGTTTGCAGCGCAGAGGGGATAATAAGTGTCGATGCTGTTTTTGGTGAGGGCCGTTCACTTAAAATTATTTTTTTCTCATGCCCAACATGAAGACAAGAGGCCCAATATTACCCTCCGATGGGTGCTCGTTGAGCCCATTTTCCAAGTTTCAACCTAGCGTAAATGGACCCTTTAAACAGATCTTAATTTAAGCTTAATCCCATTTAAAGGATTTACCATTCCTGTTCAAACCCTTTTAAATTTTGAAAGAGCCTTAAAACTTGGGCAGTTAACCTGGTTACTTGACAGGTTGACCTGAAAGTTTCCAATCTTGTTTTTCCAAATCATTTGGAACCAAGCATTGACATTATCTGTTCCTCTTGAGTCTCCTGCCACCAAAACCAGTCGCTAGTAATCTTAAGCAACAAGAACATCGTCCATCAATTAGTCTAATACAGTTTATTACTCAACCTAGACCATCAGGAATAAAGTTCAAGCCAAAAGAAATCTTATAGATTCGTGGAAATTAATTTCAGCAAAGATCCCATCCATTACAATCAGACTTCACCAGCACTGCCCTTGTCAACTGTGTTGCCCTGGAACAATGTCTAGAAAATAGCACCAAATACTTCACAGTTTGTGTGCATTTCATGAATTGCTTCATGAACCCACCTAGAGATGTTGCAGTTCTCTGTTCTGATGGAATCATCACAAGATTTTCCCAAGATGACTAGTGTGTGGTTAATTTGTTCAACAACCTTTGGAAAAATATCGTCTTCAAGGCTTATCGGAGAAGTAGAAGCCTATTGTAGCAGCAAGTTGGCAACCATGACGCAAACTTACTTTAGCTGTCCAATGTCATTCATCACTTTCGTTTGCCATCTTCCTTTTGCTCATCCCACGGTGCACAATTTATCCATTTTCAGAAAAAATTCACATTCGATCTTTCAGGAGGAGCAATTGACAAAGCATTGCTCCTTTTCTAGTGTTTATGTAAACACGCAGGAATAAATACATGAACAAGCAGGTGCCAGAATTTCAAACTGATTACTGCTTTTCATGAGAAGTATGAAATAATTACTGTAAGATTGTTTATTCTACTTTTCTAAACGGTACCACTTTCCCAAAGAAATCACAATGATTTGTTTGAAATTTCTGCAGGCACATCAAAGAACACTTGGTATACAGCATCTCTAATGTTTTTGTTTTGCTTCAAGTCTCATAATCCTCCGTTCCATCTGCATTCAATAGGCAGGTAGAATTAACAACCACCATAAACAAGAAAAGGTACTAGATAGTCTTGAATCAATGCCAAACAATTATCATTACTTTCATAAATCTCATAAGCAAATGTATTGTGTAATAGTCTCATAATTATGATGAATGAAGTTCAAATTCAAGACGATAAGATATTCATAAGCCAAGTAGAAATTTTTCAGACATGCAAACTCAGCATGACAAGGTGCACCTCTAATGATCAATATTTTCCAGTTAATTTATAAGGAGGTATAACCTGATTTATGTTGTATGGTTTGTGACAAACAAACTAAACCCGTCTCCCAAAAGTCCAGGGAGTTGCTCCAATAGATTTTTTTCCTTTGTTCATATTTACAAAGACCATGCCCCACTGTAAGTGTAGACAGAGAGGCCTCAAGAGAGGACCGTTTAGAAGACAAAGGCATTACCAAAATGACATGAGATCACAAAACAAATGCAGGCCTAACATGATAACCAGCTAGATGGGCTCTGAATTTAACACTTTCCATAGTTCATTTTCATTGTAATGTCCTTACAAATTCATGTAATGTAACTGTCATATGAATTAAAGTTGAGTCTATACCTGGACAAGGACTTGTAACTTTTCACGGGTATGAGCGAATTCATTCTTTGTCCAACTCAAGGCCTGAAGGAAGCTGAAACAAGGACGTTTTCAAAGCAAAAAGGGAAAAGCATCTTAAACACATGACGCAACTTTAAATAGAAAAGAAAATAACAAAAAAGAGAATAAAAGAAATCTTTAAAGCATAAGCAGATCATAAAGGGTAAGGAATGAATGATCCTGGCAGGTCAATGGATGCGGGCAAATGAAAGTTCTACTTCAATTACTAAGATTGGCTATGCCATAAAAGTAAAAGCATGGTTACAGCCCAAGATTGATGAATGCATATCAACATTTTCTCACATGGCAGCATATATGTAGATAAAAAATCAATGAGAAAGTGCATAGAAGAAAATTTCATACTTTTGCTTCTGCAACTGATCACAAGCCTGCATTAGATCCACACATGCAAGTTTCATGTGCTCAGCGCCAATACTGTTTACATTTTGTGGGGTGGGGGAGATTATGCAATAAGTAATCAGTAAATAATGGTTGGATAAATTAAGACTAGACCACATAACAATATCATATCATAACTGTTCATAAAAAGACAAAGTAAATATTATTTTGGACATAAGTGTTTTTCTTAAAAAGCTAAAGTGGCATCAAATGAATCATCACAATATTCTTATAAGAACAAACAGCTGATCTTTTAATTATTTTCCTGTTTCTCTCTGCCAACTGTTCTCCCAACCATGGAGACTAATGACGTAACCCGTTACGTAAAGAAAACCCAAACTAGCTATATATTCTTATTTGTCACCTTTTGAAATTTTCTTTAGGCATATATGGATGCTTCTATTTAATTCGACATACTATTTCACTGGAGATATGCTGCTGTGCATCTTTTGTTCTTTTTGCACTACATAGGAAATCATTAAAAAAAGGGGGGAAAGGAAGGAGGGTGATTCTACCAATATGTTAGTTGTGCATCTTGTCATACCTGGCACCTTGGCAAACCCCATGCCTAAGACGAATGCCTTGACCTATAAATACATGCACACTTTTCTTACTCAAATAACACATTATTTCAAGTCCAATATTGATTTTAATACTGTTGCATAGCATATGATTAAGAACTCATTTAGCCCTTTGACTTTTAAATCGAAAGGCGTCATCAGGATGAAATTTTCAATCAACATTCTCTATCTAGAAAACATTCTATAAGACAAGAACTAAATCAGGGAGATTTTCCAGTTGATTCCTTGATGAAAAATTAAGGTCAACATTACCAGGAGCTTCTCTCCCCTACTTCTGCAGCCAGAGCAGCCAACTTAGAAAAATCAATGGTAGGGAGATCACTGCAAATATATAGACCCATTAAAATAATCCAAATAAAAGAAAATTAGCTTCTTCAGTTCAAACATTTTAGGAACAAAGATACATGTAGCTTGCAAGTTGTGATAAAATGGTTTCCACATCGAGGCAGTACATATTGATCAACTGCACAAAATGGTCAGCTCTTCCAACCATTTTCAAGTGCTGAATGTGAGAAAACTGATCATTTACGATCCCCTGCAAAGAACAACATGAGAACCCACAAAGGTTCAATACTAAATTCATAAATACCAGATATGCTTGAACAAGTACATCTCTGTGTACTAGAAGCTATAATCCAAACAGCATAAAAAAGAATATAGAAGAAACAAATCAAATTTTTAATATAATGCATAAAATTTTAACTATACATGTTTAGGCATCTGATGCAAGATCACATGGCAACTTATACCAAAAGAACCTGGCACAGAGCAAATTAGAGCCAAAGGAGACCCATGGCACAAAATATATTACAAAACAGAAAAACAAAAGACCAAGATAAATCAAGATTGAGCTCATAATATGTCACCTCATTGAACAATGACTGCACGTATTGTTGCAGCAGTCCTTTAACAATAGACAAAGCCATTTCTGGTATTAATGAATACTATTAAATTTACACAATTGAAACTGGAAGAAATCTTTTAATCCAAAATAAGAAGAAAGAACTTTTCATGAGATGCACCCCCTTCAAGTGACAACAAGCAAAATGTGTAGCAAACAAAAATGGTGTGTCAGAACACCACGAGTTAAGCATGGTGTTTCACTGATAACACCTACAACTCCTAATGACAAATGTCACAAAAATCTTTTTGTCCTCTTTCAGCAAGAGTTTCTGGCACTAAATTACATCTTGTTTAGTTTAGTGAGAAAACACTTGAACCATCAATCAAGAAGTATTTTGATAACATTTAACTATGGGGATAGTTTGAGATGATTAGTTGGTAAATCAAGAGCCAAGCCTTTTTTTGGACATCATACAACACATTTGTGCACGAGAATAAACAACTATTGCACACAATACAAAATGAATTCTTTCTCCTCGATAATAAGGGGAAAAAAACAAAACCAAGGACTCCAAACACATCCAGAAAATGATGGTTTTATGTTCTAACTCATAACGGGCTATATACAACTCCTTATATAATAAGTTAACCAAATGTTGATGGTTCTAACCACGAAGCCGCTATAAATATACCAGTAAAACTTTCAGTTGCCAGTGGGACTTCCAAGAATTCTCACCTTATAAAGTAGTCCCAATCTAAACCTGATTGGCATGATGACAGGCATTGTGGGTCCACTTTACCCATTATTGACACATAAGGTGGTACAGCATGTCCATGCCACATGGTCAAATCGAAGAAATTCTTAGACTCTCAACTGGGTCCCCATTGTTTTAATCTGTTACCATAACAGTCCGTATACAGTTGTCTTATTTATTTAGACAAAAAAGGATTATACAGATCATATTTTAAACATCTCATTGACCAAAAGTAGTTCAAGTTTATCAAACACTTTTAACTGGACCAAGGGAAGCTCATTTCGGTAAATAAACCAACTTAAGCTAGTGTATAACAAGTTAGTTCCTTGGCATGGATTGAAGAATCTCAGCTAGAGGTTCAATAAGATTGATGAAGGGACTAACACAATACTCTGCTTAACCCAGATAACATTGAATTAAGTCCTAAGACCTGCCCTAGAGTTGGAGTCTACCAGAATGATATGTCTCATGCAGCCTTATATCATAAGCATAAAAACACAAAGAAATGTTACCTTCAGTTCGTATGACATGCTGAAAATCAGCAACTAGTAAAAATTCAAATGGAAATACAAATTATAGATATCCATGAGTGCTTTCGACTTGAGATGTAGACATATATCTCATGCATTTGAATTTTTTACACACAAGAAATAGTGAAGGTGATATCAGTTCCTATAAAGATGTTAATATCCACTTTTCTATTTACAATTGAATTTTTTTACAAAGATGTTAATGTCCTTTTGTCTCTGGGACACCAGTTTTTGCAATTTAAGGCTTTAAGTTGTGGTGCTTCATATTACTTTTTTAACCTTAAAAAGATTTGAACTTAAGTATTAAAGATATTTCAAAATTTCATGTAAATTTTACAAATTCAAGTTTCTAACATTCATTATCATGGTTTCCTTTGGAGATTTAAAACGATTTTTTTTTTTTTAAATGAAGCTAGCTAGCTAAAATCTTTTGGAAAATACTTGTGGCTCTTTAAGAAAACACCTGGAGCAGAGAGCTACAAAGAAATTATTCAATAGTGAAAAATCGGATTTTTCATGCAGCAGCAGCAGCAGCAGCAGAAAGGCAATCAATTCAAGTGCAAAGCAGCTTTGATATTATAACTGCCACATGCATCATATTTGGAATATATTGCACAACTTTAGAAACACTCAGCAAGCTTGAACAATTAACAAAAGTTTAATGGTATCCAGAAAACTAGGTGGTAACAGCAAATTGTTACATTTTCCTTCCTTTCTGATGAAAAGAAAGAAAGCTCCCTAAGATGCAAGAAAGCTGTACCCCACACAAATCTGCCTCCTGTAGGTTTAGCATGAACCTTCCAATACAATTTCAATCCCAGGCTGCAACTAATTTGGTTACAGTAAACCCCAAAATTTAGGATAATCAATTTGGTGGTTTTTTGAAATGGCTCACAATGCCAGCTCAAAGAATTCTTAACTAACAAATTCACTTCGCTAAATTTCTGAAAAGATACGTTCCCTTATTTTTTAGTTGCAACAAATAGCTCTTACAACATAGAAACATTGTTAAGGATCACAGGACCTTCGTATTCATTACCACTTCATTGTCTAGAACTTAAAATTTTACATAAAGGAATTTAAACCTTATAGCATCTAGTAAAATTTGCAACTAAAAGAACAAGATTCATCTAGACAAGTCATCAGGTTAACTGCTCACATGAAAATAGACAAGTAATGTTCCAATCAAGAAACTAGGCATGCATTAAAATAAACTGTATCACAAGAACCTGTTTCCAAACCTGAAACTAATGGTGAAGCTACTGCGTCAATATAAACAATCTCCAGCTGATAGAATTGGTCATTAACGATTCCCTGAAATTATTAAGAGAGTAAATTGTATCAGGTTAGATTTTTTTTTTTCTGGAAAGAAGTAATTTAACTCATGAAGAGCTTTGAACACTTACATATTCCTCTATCTATCACATTTGGGAAAAGAAAAAGGAAAGCAAGTACTTCACCAATTCGTTCAAAACTTTCTGATGATTTTACAATCTACAAAGGAACAACAAATAAATTCCAAGAAACCCAACAAGAATATCAAACAATGGAGTTAAAACATGAAAATTCAAAACCTAATTGCATTAAACTGCTAAAAAAAGTATAACAAGATGGGTTACCTCATCATGAATGGACTTAATAAACACCCAGTAAGCAGACCTTTCTGGATAGGCAATGCCATTATTAAGAATTGTTCCTTGCATGAAATGGGTAGATTCTTTTCAACTTTCTTTTTTTTTTAAAGTGATGGAAAGTTTTATATAAAAGGCAATGAAGTTTTACTCATTTGGTGAAGTGAACACCGGTTGTTGGGACTTGGGAAGACAAAACTCCATATTATAACGCCCAAAACTGGTTACTGGACAAAAGGGCTTCGGCTTATAATCTTGGTCGGTTTGAACATAAAGATACTCAAGTTTGAACCTACAAATCTTCATATCGACTTCCATGGTAAAAGTCAAATAATTAATAGATATTTATTGACAAAAAAAAAAAGAAAAGAAAATAAAAGACAATGAACAAAATTTAGCATGTACATGAAATTTTTATATTATTGATTCTTGAACTAGATTACGTGTTTTTTTGAGATAAGAGTTCAAAGGTATATTAAAAATTTTAAAAAATAAAATTTGATATTTATTGACAAAATATTAAAATTTTAATTTTAATCATCAATTTAAATTTAACAATGTCAAATATAATAAAAAAATTATTTGACATATTAATAATAAAATTTTTTAATTTTACAAATTAAAATATTACCTCATATTTTTAATATATATTTAAAAAATTAAAAATTAATTTTAAAAAAATTATTTTAAACTCGTAGAATTAAGGGTGGATTTGGATTCCACCGAAGTGTAATGTGGTGAAATTGGCATGTTTTTCCGTCCAAACGTGCTGGGATTTGTCATTTGGATGGCAGAACTTCAGTGCAGTTGGAAGGGGGTTCCAACGCACTGGAAGCAAAAGCTGGACTGGACCTGTAAGTGTCCAGTGAGAAATTTTTAATTTCACTGCAATAGTTCTTTTAAAAAATAACCATACATTTCCATTTTTTTCCTTTTTACCCTTGAAAGTATAATGTAAAGTCAAAAACATCCCTATCACTTAAATTCTTTTTTCATTTCTTTTTTTTATTAAAAAAATTTTAAAATTTTTTATTAATTTAATATAAATAAATAAGATTTTATAATTATATAATAAACTAATTAATAATTAAATAAATTTCTATAGTATTCATTTTAATTACTTTTTATTTTTTATGAATAAAATTATTATCTAATATAAAATATTTTTATATTTTTAACAATTGAATAAATATAAAAATATCAAATATATTATAAATTTATTATATATAGGTTTTAATTTAATATTTTTAATGATCATTTTTTTACTATAATTTATCTTACCGTTATTATTATTTTTACATCCAAATACATATTTTATCACTAATTTAATTTTATTATTATAATATTTAATTTTATTATTACAATAATTAATTTCACTTTAATCATTATTTTTAATCTCATCAAAATCAATCTCATTGTTCATCCAAATAACCCTAATAACTTCTGCTCTTAATATATCAAATAATTTTCAATGACAAAAATATTTTAACAACAAAAAATTAAAAATAAAAGGGAAGAACGAAAAGGCTTATGGTATCGCAATTTTAACCCCAGTCTAAGATTTTAAGAGGAAAATATTTTCCTTCTAAATGGTAACTGGGCTCTAAAGTAGGGCCCAACATTTTGAAGCCCAATGCAGATGACACGGGCTTGATAAGTCAAAGTTAGACCAATTTTGTTTGTGAAAATATGTGAAGGATTGACTAATGATTAAGATTAGTTATTTGAAGCTTTACATAAATGATAAAACCCTAGTGAAATGTTTGTTTAATAAAGGGTTTTAGATTTCAAAATTTTCAAATAGAAAGTTAAAATATAAAATAATTTATAATGACAATTTTACTTTTTTAATATAAATTAAAAAAAAAAAACATGAGAATGTTTTCACAACCAAACACGCCCTTAATTTACATAATTAATATTCTCTTATTAATTAATTGTTTTATATGTTGGATTGAAATTTAAGTTGACTGGTGCATTCTTAATATAAAATTCGTTTTTGGTCTAAAAATGAGAAAATAAAGTTCAAACTACAATATTGCATGCTATAGAACGAGGATGAATGACCATTGGACTGTTCACTCTGTGAACTGAGTCAGTCCATTCTAAGGATGCTGATAAAACAGTAGAGTTGGCCTTCAATGGTGGCCCTTTCACCTCAAGTCTAAAAGATTTCTTCTCATTCAATTCATTAAAAACATGTGTGTCCCGGATAACTTTGATCTTGAGAAACTTCGGGGCCTTCACGATTGCCTTGTATGTTGAATTTCCATGTTCTACATTTGTAACAGTTCGATGGAAAACAGCTGAAATTCTTGACTTACGGTTCTTCTGCAACACAAACATGGATGGGTAGTTTAGATCATCTTGGCCTCCAAACTTTGGGATGCTTGAACAATCAACATGTTCATCAATGGCCAATCGAATACGTGTTCCCTTGTAGCCCTCTTTGCATAGGAACCTGATAACTAAACCAACCTGAACAGCTCTAACTGGATCAATTTGGCCAGCTCCATAGGCTAACTCAGCAAATTCATGGCCAACTTTCATTTCAGATGCTGGATTTCAGATGAAACTAAATAGTGGCTAGGCAATCAGTTATGCAATTTTTTTTTACTTCACTTTGGTTGAAGGTCAGACTATAACTTGTTGTCATGACTCATGAGAGCAGATTTGATTGCACTGGGAGACCATTCAGGATGGAATGACTTGACATAGGCAGCAGCTGCAGTAGCATGAGGGCAAGCCATTGATGTTCCAGACAGGATATTACGTATTGAAGCGATTGTCACACTCAGACGCCGTCATAGATGCAAGTTTCGTGTGAATAGCTATAATTGCAACTCCAGGTGCAACAGTGTCCAGCTATGCCAACAACCAAACCTAGAAAATTACTAATTTCAGACCAATAAAAAGGCACTGCTTAATCAAACAGATAGTACCTTTAAAATAGAGCAGGCACGAACGTACAGCCCTTTAGATGAAAAGACAGCCACAAAAGGTGCAGAAACTTTGATTTCTATTGGCTTGAGAATCATAGCCCGAGGGTTTCTGCATTATTATTATTATTATTATTATTATTATTATTTTGCAGATTACTCATTTGTTATAGTCGTAAACAGATATCTGATCTTGACCAATGAAAACTTACTTGGTTGAGTTAATGTATTTCTGAATGCGTTCTCCTACTTGGGTATTGACTCATGCGGCAGGAATTATAAAAGAATATCCAGCATCTCTGGCGGCGGGTTCGCAACCCATAATTACAACTATTCCACCCATATTCTTAATGATATAATTTTTGTTTCCTCCATTGCAGTAAACTATTTTTCCCTTGACCTTCTTTTCATCTAAAGTTTCAATCTCACATAGCCTGCAATATTAAAAGTGTTTCTCAATTGATTAGAGCCCAAATTGTGTAATAAATAACCGACAGCAAAACGTGATTTTGGATATTGTTGATGTTAATATTTAGTCTGAACGTAAAGCGTCGAACTCTTTATTCAAGCGATCATGGTCCAATTCCTGATTCTTACAGTTAAAGTCCTTTTCACCCGGCATGCTTGCTTTTGCTCCACTAGTAAAAGGGTACGTTTTCCTTTTGAGATGAAAGGTATTCATAGAACCCCCCCTGTTACGCAAATTAAGTACCAATAAGTTAATTAGAGACAACGACCAATATGTTATTATCAATATAATAAGAGCATGAGCACTTTATATGCCTAAAAGCTCATTAGTTCCATTAATCTTGATCTGGTCGGTCCATGTGAAGTGTTAACATGATTAAAATTTTTGCAGGAAGAAAATGTTGGATTTGAACATGCCACTTGAGCTCAAGTAAAAATGGTATATTGAGACTTTGAATGCAGGAAGAGAAAGATGGTTACCAAAGTTTTCGTGTGCTTGCCGATTCTAACTGGAGTCTTAAACACTCTGTCCGTAGCACTAGCACCAACAGTGAAAATCCAAGGAGCCCCATTATTCAATGTATGCAAATACGGCCCCTCATTTCCGGCGGCACAGCTTGTCAAGATACCTTTCTTCATGGCGTGAAATGCACGGATGGCTATGGAGTCGTGCAAGCGACCCGGGGAGTAGCCACTAATGGACAATGACAATAAGTCAACACCATCATTAACGGCATCATCAAATGCTGCAAGTATGCTCATGTCGCTACAGCCAGGGCGACAGACCTTGTAGACAGCAATGCTTGCTGAGGGAACCCCTCCTCGAGCTGTGCCTTCACCTAGGCCATATAGATTTGCACCTTGGACAGGATTGCCTGCTACTGTTGACGCAGTGTGCCAGCCGTGGCCCATTTCATCAGCCGGTGTTGAATTCAAATCCCCAGTCAAGGGGTCCAGGTTATATGCTCTTGCTCCTATCACCTTACTGTGATTAAGAGACAGCAAGAAAATAATGGTTAAATTTCAAGATTTTCACTTTAGAGTTCTCATATTCGAATCCGGGCCAAAAGGGAATAAAAAAAAAAAAAACTTGTTGCAGCCTGAAATGTTGCCTCCTAATTGGCAGGTGCCTTTCCATTTCGCTGGAGGTGGCCCAAACCCTTTGTCATCAAAACTTGGAGCATCCATATAAATTCTCGAAAAATATCAAACAATTGTTAATTAATGATAAGAAGAGAGGAAAGATTCAAGCATTCCATTTTCAAAAAATTTTAAACTTCCCTCCCGTGTCTAGCACACCAACAATTATGTCACTCTCTTTTTGGAGATTTCTTCCAACTGATAAAGGCGTGCCTAGAAAATCCCATGATCTTGTTGTGTGAAGCTGTCTCATACTGCTTGGAAACACGGAAGCCCCATTTTCTTTCTCTGAAATCAATGGAATAATCTCTCATAGTCATATAATATTTTTACATGTATAATATACTTACTGTAATCCAAAACTGGTATATGTATATAAATTAATGTTGTAGTCTTTCAGCTTCATCTGGCGACAAATATGCAGCAAATGCATTAAAACTTTTCCCATGGCTGTAAATTATGGACTGCCGAGCAGCTTCCTCACTAATAAATATTAACCAAAGTGATTAGTTAACTAACCGATTATACTACTACATTTTAGATAGAAAATTAAGCTTTATACATCACAGTCTAATTGATTGTTAATTCACTCTTTCAAACAACATCCAAAGCAAATTTTTTAAGAGTAATGTTGCATTGTCTGATATATTGACAATCTATTTTGATCTTTTGAATTAGGATTAGGGTTCAAACTCCGAATCAGGGGCGTAGCTAGGGGGCAAAGATGAGCCATGGCTCCCCAAAAAAATTTTATCACCCTTTATATGTATAGTGCTCTTTCCCATAAAATTTACTTTTCAATTGAATTTACTATCTGGTCCTTCTTCCCATACCTTTTCCCTATACTTGACTTCGCCTCTACTCAAAACCCTTAATTTTAAAGCCGATTCTAGTACCTCTCAACTAATAATGACAATTTTGATACTCACAAAACCTTATAGGCATTTCTTTTTATGAGTAGTCGATCGGACAATCAGAATGTCAAACACTATAACATTTCTCACCCTTGAACTTGTCTGATTTGTACGTAGAACACATAATAATTTTGTTATCACTTACTCCAGTAACTTCAAAAAGCAAGCTATGGTGATTGGCCACAGCTAGAGTTTTTATTTTCAAAGAATCTCCCATGTAAACGGTGTAAGCCTGTTGCAAGTCCATAATAAAGAGAAAAATTAAACTTTGTAAGTAGCAACTAAGCTTTATAAAAAAAAAAAAAAATTGCACACATAAACATAAGGTTTCAAAGCTTCAATTATCACCTGAAAGAAAGAGACTGAAAATAACAATGTTTAGTTTCATTGATTATATGAATCCTACAATATATATATATATATATATATATATTTGTGGAGTTTCTCTTTGCTTGTCCGATATATATATTGAGAGTGGGAGAATTTAAAATTTAAATACCATATCAGTTAAACATATAAATTATTTGTTTGAGTGTTTTTTTAAGATCACAAAATGGTTTTAGAATATAGAGAGATTTTGTATTTAAAATTGGGACATTAATGTCGTAACAATTTTGTGTTCGTCTGACGAATTTGAAAACAGAATAAAAAATAACGGAGTCGCTACCAATCTTTTTGGTTAGGTGCGATTGATCACCTATTAAAACATATCCTTTTAATGAAATATTAAAATTAATTAAAATTTATTAAAAAGATAATTTTACGGTCTGTGAAACAGTCTGGGTTCGGGAGTCGGTTACGCGTGGGGAAGGATTAGCACCCCCACAGTGCCTGTTAAAAATGGTACCAATTAACAACGTGTTATCCTTTAATTTTGATACAAACAGTCTTATTTTCAATATTCTAAAAATAATTTCCTTGATTTTTTATTTATTAAAAAAGAATATTATTCTCGAGAAAAATAAATCAAAACCTTTTTATTGAAATAATTCTTAAAATGTTTCAGTACGTTGGTAACACTAAAAGAACTCTTTCTCACATAAAGATTTCTTAAAGCATCTCTACTCGAAATACTTTTAGAATCTCATCTTTGGAGGCTCGAATTTATTTTTTGTAAGAAATGTCATGTTAAAAAAATATTTATTCTCAAGAAAAATAAATTAAAACTTTTTTATTGAAATAATTCTTAAAATGTTTCAGTACGTTGGTAACATTAAAAGAACTCTTTCTCACCTAAAGATTTCTTAAAGCATCTCTACTCGGAATACTTTTAGAATCTCATCTTTGGAAGGTCTGAATTTACTTTTCGTAAAAATTATGTAATGTACGCAATGCTAATAATAACAAGTTGATGCACACATTTTATTCTTTTTTTTGAAAATTTTATTAATTGTTTTATTAATTTTTAATTTTAATTGAAAATTTGAAAAAAAAAAAGGAATTTAATCATATTGAAGATTTTCTATAAATATTCCAATACGCTGGTAATATTTTACAAAAAATCTTCTCACCTAGAGATTTCTTAAAGCATCTCTACTCGAAATACTTTTAGAATCCCATCATTGGATTAAATTTCTTTTCTTCCTATTTTTATTACTTATATTTTTAATTTATTAATCAATTTTTACTTATTATTTAAAAAAAATCTTTACTGTATTGAAAATTTTTTATAAATACTCCAATACGTTGGTAGTACTTAAAAAAAATTTTCTCACCTACAGATTTCGTAGGCATCACTATTCGAATATCTTTGAATCTCATCGTCAGATAAAAATTTCATTTTCTCTTATTTTTTATTAGTTTAGTATTATTATTAAATTTATTTTTATATTATTGTTTTTAAAGTTTATTAACATAATTACATAAAAAAATTAACCACAATTTCATCAATTAGTTTAACAAATATAGATATTTTAATATGCATAAATATTAATAAAATAATATATAAAAAAATAAGAAAAATTCAAAAAAAAAATTTTTTACCTGAACCGGATCGGGCAGCGGTTCGGTCAACGCCCGGTTCGGTCCGACGATTTGGCTCGGTCTGGCGGTTGGATCGACGGTTCAGACGATCTAACCGGTTCAATCCGGTCCACTGACGATTCGTATGAACCGATTCAAGGCTGGCTGGGACGGGTCGTTGGGTCGGGTTGCGCGGATCTCAGGTCGGGTTCGGGTCAACGCGCGGATCCTTCTTTGGTTAAAACGACGTCGTTTTGGGTTTTATTGAAATGACGTCGTTTTGGCTATTGATAATTTATATAAAAGTCAAAAATATTTTTTTCGTCATATTTTCGGTCTTCAGAAAAAAAATAGCCCATTTTTTTTCTTCTCTCTTCTTCTTCAGTCGCACGCTGGGCGGCCGTCAGTGCCGTCGCTATTTGCCGATCGTCGGTCGTCGTCTCCGGTGGTCGAAAAAACCCCAAAATTCTCTCACGAAATCTTCTCGACCCCCTGAGCACGGATCTGACCTCCTTTTCACCAAAAACGATCTTGATTCGCGTAGATCGGGTTTTGAAGTTTTTGATTTTTTTCTCTTTTTTTTTTTCGATGAAACTGATGATTTCTTGGCTTTTACAGGTGGCTCGACGCTGAGGTTCCTCGCCTATGGCGAGGACTATGTTATTTTTTAGTTTTTTTTTTGGTTTTTTTGCATTTTTTTTTTTACGTTTTTGTGCCTTTTTTTTTTGCTAGATCTATTTGTGTATTTTAAAGGGTAGCTGTGTGTTTGAAAATGGGTTTTTATTCTTTTTATTTGAGAGCTGACTGATCTCTCAATGAGAAAGATGGTTGGAGATTTTAAAGGGTTTCGATTTAGGGGAATCTAGGTGGCTATAGGGTGGTTGTAAGTAGGTTGAGAAAGCTAGTCAGGGGGTTGGTTGGGTTGGTCGGAGAGTTGGTTGGGTGGCTGACAGGGAGTTGGTCACGGAGTTGGTTAGGTGGCTGACAGGGAGTTGGTCGGGGCAGTTTGACGCCGTACCAACCCCTTGACTTCTGTCTTATTTTCGTTTTGTTTTGTTTTTTTTTTTTTTTATTTTTTTGTTTGTTTTGTTAAATATTATTATTATAAAAAAAATAAAACAGTAGACCCGAACAAAATCGGTGTCTACAGCTGCCCCTCTTTGCACATTACTGAGAATCAGGAATAGGGCAAAGACAAAGACAACGATTTTGTTCGAAAACAAATCGTGTTATTTTTTGGTTTTACAGAAAAGGGCACCTCTTAGCAGAGGCTCAACAACTTTAAAAATTTCATCTAGAAAAAGCTCCTCTCAATAGAGGCTTCACAACTTTAAAAATCTCTTGAAAAAAGCTTCTCTCAGCAGAGGCTCCACAACTTTAAAAATTCTCTCTTGAAAAAAAGCTCCTCTCAGCAGAGGCTCCACAACTTTAAAAATCTCATCTGAAAAAAAGCTCCTCTCAACAGAGGCTTCACAACTTTAAAAATCTCTTGAAAAAAGCTTCTCTCAGCAGAGGCTCCACAACTTTAAAAATCTCTCTTGAAAAAAGCTCCTCTCAGCAGAGGCTCCACAACTTTAAAAATCTTATCTTGAAAAAGCTCCTTTCAGCAAAGGCTCAACAACTTTAAAATTCTTTCTGAAAAAGCTCCTCTCAACAGAGGCTCTACAACTTTAAAATTTCTCATCTATTTTCAAATTTGAGTTTTCATCTTTGAACAAGTAAATCTCTCTCTTTTGAATTCCTTTGTTTGATCATTATCTTTACCAAAATCTTGTTTTTTCATTAAGAAAAGGAAAATTTCTATCTTTGTTACAACTTCTCATGGATGCATGTACTGAGTGCTCATGATGCAATGCATGTAATGCAATCAAAATCATTTATTGTAGTAAAAAGGTTCTCGAAATCTCTCACTTTCAGCTTTTTTTATCCGAATTCTTATATGACCAATCTGTCTTCAACATCTGACCATAATATTTTTTCTTCAAAAGTCTATAACATCAATGACTTGTCATGCTTTTCTCATCATTTTTCATTTGCCTTTGTCAACTTTAAAAGTAATGCTGAGATCTTTCGTGTTTGTTTTTCTTTTCATCATTTTAAGTTCAAGACAAATAAAATGCAATCACATTTCTCTGATGGACAAAAAATATCAGATAAGGATAAAGGAAAGGA